TGCAGAGCGTCGATTGGCCGAGCACCGCATCCGCGCGAGTGAGTGGAGAGCGCCAACGAGACTGAGGCCTGCGCTGCGGAATATATTTCAACCCCAGGCAGTCGCGACTGTCAGAGGAGGAAGCGAGGAGCACAGGCAGCCCTCGCTTGCGCGAAAGAGTGACCTGTGCCGACGAGCGGCAGGGCCCTGAAAGCAAAAAGACGCTTCCCCCTTGGAGGTTGTTCCAGCGAGAGCCCTTGGCCAGGTCGACGGCCCCGAACTCCCAAGGAACGGCCCCGCGGTCCGAGCGCCAGATCCCTGGGCTCCTCCAGGGGGGACTGAATCAGAAGGTTTGCCAGCGATCCTGTCAGCGCGTGCGCGAGTACTGGTCGGCGCCGCCGACGATGCCGAGGAAGTCGCCGTAGACGCCTGCGAAGTCGGAGCCGATGCCGAGTCGCCAGGGCCAGCCGCCTCAACGGGCCCGGCCTCGGGGCCGCCAGCCGCGGCCGCGGCGGGCACGTTGGCAGCAGGCAAGCCGCCAACCACGCCATGGCCCTCATCGCCGGTGCGCCGCTTCTTGGCCGCCATGCGCTGAGCAAGCGACTGGTGTTCGGCACTTGAGCACGTCGACCTTCTGCTTGGCCTCCGAAAGGTGGCGAACCACACTCGCGTTGCCAGCTGCTCCTTCTCCTCGGCAAACAGGGAGTCCTCCTCCTCCTCCGTGATGGTGAAGCAGTCTCCGGGGTCAAGGTAGGACATGGCTGAGAATCGCTGTTCATCAAGGTCCTCCAAGCTGAGCTTGCTACCTGTCATGGTGCCGGACGGAGGGCCAGGAAAATCGTCATGGAGGCACCGCGCGAGTGCACTGCGCTGATTCTCTGCCTCGACCAAGTCCGACCGAAGCTGAAGCACCAGGGACCTCTGCGCCGCAAGAGCTTGCTCCATCTGCTCGTACTTGGTGACCACGCGCGCTTGCTGATGGGCACGGTTGAGTTGAACCTGCAGAAGGACGTGCTTGGGCGAGGGCTCCTGCAACGCCGCCGCGGCTGTACTGTGAGCGCGGGCGCCCTGCACATCCCCCAACTTCTCGCAGAGAGTGGCCATCTGGGAGTGCTCCTCGGCCGTGAGGGGGGGCTTGGAGGCGCCGTCGCCAGCAGGTGGGCCCTTGCCTCCACCTCCGCCTGTGAAGGCCGCGGAGGCGCCCTTCCCGAGGCCCTTGGCCCCGTCGTGCTTGCCACTGCCGTAGCCGAAGAGCTCCAGAGTGTTGCCCCACGCCCAGGCCGAGGGCAGCAGGGCCGAGTCGCTCTTAAGGGCACCGCAATGCTTGCAATAGTACAAGCGCCCCTCGTTCTTTGTGCAACCACACCAGCAGCATGTCCAGCGGTGTGGCCAAGCTGCCAGGAGGGGCGCCACCACCGCGAGCAGCACCGCTACCACCCTGATGACCAGGAACGAGTGGGGGCCACGTCCTGGGGTCCTGGCGTCTGGGCGGGTGGCCCGAGCCTTCGCCTTGCCCACCTCCAGAAGCAGGAGGAGGCGGCTGTGCCCAGGCACGGTGCCACCCTTGGGACGCCACGCCCCTTCCCGCCTTCGCCTTTGCCCGCTATGACTCTGCGCGAAACGTGATCGGCCACAGGCTCCAGCAGGAGCTCACCAATGAAGACGGCGGGTCGAGATCCCGCAAACTGAAAATGGAAGAATACCGAGCCAACCTTGGCCAACTACAACTGTGTGCCGTTCTGAAGGAAGCTGCTGCAAACACATGCCGAAAAGCCTGAGCCAGAACGGCTGAAGGAAGAGAGGGAGAAGAAGGAGGAGGAGGAGGAGGAAGAGGAGGAGGAAGAGGAGGAGGAGAAGGAGGAGGACAAGGAGAAGGAGGAGGAGGAGGAGGAGGAGGAGGAGGAGAGGGGAGGAGGAGGAGGAGGAGGAGGAGGAGGAGGAGGAGGAGGAGGAGGAGGAGGAGGAGGAGGAGGAGGAGTAGGAGGAGGAGGATGAGGAGGAGAGAGGAGGAGGAGGAGGAGGAGGGATGAGGGAGGGAGGAGGAGGAGGAGGAGGAGAAGGAGGAGGAGGAGGAGGAGGAGGAGGAGGGAGGAGGAGGAGGAGGAGGAGGAGGAGGAGGAGGAGGAGGAGGAGGAGGAGCAGGGAGAGGAGGAGAAGGAGGAGGAGGAGGAGCTGTGGCCATGCCTCCTGGTGAATCGAGCGAAGAGGGCCCAGCTTTCGACTCGGCGGCTGCACGCTCGATGAGGTCGGCTTCCGATGGCGGCGCGGCCCTTGTTCCTTCTCCAACACACTGACGCAGAGCGTGCAACTGCCGCTGTGGCCATGCCTTCTGGTGAATCGATCGAAGAGGACCCTGCTTTCGAATCGGCGACTGGACGCTCGATCAAATTGGCTTCTGATGCGGCGCGGCCCTCGCGCCTTCTCCAAAGCTGGCGGCGCGGAACACCCCTGGAGCATCTGCGTCCCGGGCCTTTTCGGGTGCGTGGGATCGCTGCGCGCACCGGAGGTTGACAGCGAGTCGGGAATGCTACCGGCGGCTATTAGCGCATGAAGCGGGCCCGCATTCTGCGATGCAGAAATGAGGGTCCTCGGCGCAACTGCATCGTCGAGGAATCTCGTGAAGACATCGGGGTCGGCGGAGGAGAAGAAACCTTTTTTGTTTAAGCGTGCTCAAATATGTAAACCACCCTGCGCATACAACTGGGAAACCCACAACCCCGCCACCATGCCCTCATTGGCGCTCTGTTCAAAGACCGTGAAGAACTGACCGCAACATGCCAGCCTACTCGGTTGTGGACAAACCTCTCTTTAGCAAATCTTCCTTTTAGTGAATACGGCCTAGGACCGAAACTGACGGACCTGGACCCGCAAAATGACGGCCGCGACGCCCTCTCGCAAACCGAACACGGCCAATTCGCTAATCGACGTGTCAGGGTAGGAGGCCTATCAACCTCCGACCTGCTGTGCCAAGCCCGCTCCTCTGCAGGCGGCCAAGGCCAGGGGGGCCCGAACTGGCTGGGACCTCAGAAAAAGAAAACGGTCAGGAGGGGGACGACGCCAAATCCGCACAAGATCGGCCTCGGTCCCTGGACCCCTCCCGGAGTCCGTCTGGCACGCTCCTTTGCCCCATGTCCGTTTTTGAGTGTCCCGGGGCCCCCAAAAAATGACGGCCCCAGGGCCGAAAGTAAAAAAAAACCTCCTCGAGCCCAGAGCCGCGAACCTGCCCGCCCTTCCTGTTGGCCGGAACTGGTGCTGGGCCACCTCAGAACCCCAGACGGCCCCATCCGATCCTGTCGCTCACAAGGGGCGCAGATGATCAGAATCGTGCGATGTCGGTCGGCAGCCATTCGGGAGGGCACGCTTCTTTGCCCCATGTCCGTTTCTGAGTGGCCCTGCACAGCCGAAGGCGCTCCGACGGCGGAGAGATCGCTCGAGAGCGGTCGAATGCGTGGCCGCTGGCCGCTGGCCGCGTGCGGACGGCCCAGGGGAGGCCGCAGCGGGAGCAGGCTCGCGGAAGGCTGCTGGGCGCGCTCGCCCGGGATCGTCTGCGTCCCAGCGCGCATCGAGTCAAACACGATGCACGCGCGGGGGCTGGTCGCGGCTCGATGCTGTCTCTTTTCATGTACGTGTGTGTTCCGACCTCTCTCTATATAGGAAAGAGCGTGTTCTACCGCTGCTGGCGGAAAACCGGGGGGGGTCACTACCGGTTCGAACCCCTCCCCCCCCCACCCCCAGCTCATCATAAAAAGAGGGGGGGGTCACTACCGGTTCGAACCCCTCCCCCCCCCCCCCCCCTCGAAAACCGGGGGGGGTCACTACCGGTTCGAACCCCGCCCCCCCTCGAAAACCGAGTGGGGGTGCGGACAGTGGTGGGGACGGGTGTTGGTGGGGACAGTGGCGAGGGGATAGCGGGACAGTGGTGGGGACAGTGGGACAGTGGGACAGTGGTGGGGACGGTAGTGGTGGGGACAGTGGTGGGGACAATGGTGGGAACAGGGGGGGACAGTGGACAGTGGTGGTGACGGTGGTGGTGGGGACAGTGGTGTGGGGACAATGGGAATGAGGTGGAAACAGTGGGACAGTGGAGGGTACAATGGTGGTGGGGACAGTGGTGAAGGCGGTGGCGAGGACGGCGGTGGGACAATGGGACAGAGGTACAGTGGGGACAGTGGTGGGGACAGTGGGGACAGTGGTGGGAACAGTGGGACAGCTCAGTGGGACAGCGGAGGAGTCAGTGGGACAGTGGGGACAGTGGGGATAGTCGGGCAGTGGTTGGGGCCGTGGAGACAGTGGGGAGAGTGGAACCGTGGTGGGAACAGTTCTGGGGACAGCGGGGACAGTGCGACAGTGGTGGGGGCACTGGTGGGGACAGTAGGGACGGTGGTGGAACCAGTGGGGACAGTGGTGGTGAGGACAGTGGTGCTGGGAACACCAGTGGGGGATGTGATGCGGACGGTGGTGGGGACCGGGAGTCGTTTGCTGGCGGTGAGTAGAGGGGGGGGGGGGTCGATGAGGTAGTGACCCCCCGGTTTTCTGGATCCGAAGGGTAAGGGGGGGGGGGGGGAGGGGTTCGAACCGGTAGGTGACCCCCCCGGTTTTCCGGATCCGGAGGGGGGTGGGGGAGGGGTTCGAACCGGTAGTGACCCCCCCGGTTTTCGAGCGGGAGGGGGGGGGGGGGAGGGGAGGGAGGGGAGGGGAGGGGGGGGTTTTGCCGGGGGAGGAGGGGGGGGGGGGGGGGAGGGGTTCCAGCAGGGGGGGGGGGATTTTCGGAGGGGGGGAAGGGGCGACCCCCGGGTTCCGGAGGAAAAGGTTGGCAATTTTCCACGGTAGAGCGGCGGTGGATCACGCTCTCTCCTATATAGAGATCCCCCCAACATATGTATGTACATAGCTCCACGTATCTACATAGATGTGATACGTAGATCCTCAGCTCGTCTGTGGAACGGTCCGTCTAGCCAAACCATTCCTCCTCTCACTCCAGCAAGCCGTGCTCTCAGGGCAGCTCGAGACAAGCAGACTTCCTCGCCGAGCATGGCGTTCGCCACGGTGTCTGGCGTGTTGCGGATGCCCTCCACCACGTTGCTCACCAAGTCAAGGGTGCCGTCAGCAACGCCGCGCGTGAGCTCGTAGGACCCAAGGATGACGCCCTCACCGCGATCTCTTTTGCTGGTGAGACTTTGCTGCCTCTGTCTCTGCCTCTGTCTCCTTTTTGTTCTCTCTCTCTCTCTTTTTTTTTTTTTTTTTTTTTTCTCTCTCTCTCTCTCTCTCCATGAAGACGCAAGAACAGCATGAACATGAACTTTCGGCGGTCCGCGCGGACACCCCTCTCTTCGGGGATCCGGGTCAATCCAGACCCGCGTCAGCAAGAAACCAACAACTGCAATGCAAGAAAAAACTGCAACGCAGATCTTCGAAAACCCCGGTCAGCCAATACGCGCGGCCGCCTCGCGGCCACGAGCGGCCCGTTAACCCGGGTCGGCCAGAGGGGGTCTTCGCAGGATCCTGCAGGATCTGGTGCCCTGGCTGACCCCCGGTTGCACTGACCCCCGTCTCGAGGCTCCCGATCCCTGGCACGCGGAGCGCGCCGGGGGCGGCGCAGGAGGCGCCGCCAGGGGGGCGCGGCGCCGATCCGAGAACCCCGCGCGGAAGCAGGGGCTCAACCACGAGACTTAAGTCGGGCGTGTTCCCCTACAGGGGGATGTTCGACGAAGAATGAAACATACCCCGAACATACGCCAGAAAGGTTAAAAACATACTCAAAAAATAGTCCCCGGACTATTATTCGAGAATTTTTGTATTATTTTTGGGGGTATTTCTTTTTTTTTCCGTCGAACATTCCCCTGTCTGGGGGACAGGCCCGACATAACACAAGACGCCTTCCACAGGAAACCCAACCCCGAGACCCCCAGGCCGTGCATCGATTCTCGGCGCGGAGGCGCCGCGCTCTTCGCGGCAGAGCAAACCGGGACCCAGGAAGCCCCGGGCACCCTGGAGGCAAGCGGGGTGCTTCACCCCGGGGGCGCGCAAGCATGGATTCGCGATGCGTGGATTTGGCGCGCCTTCGACAGATCGATGGAGGCAAGCAGGATTCGCGATGCATGGATTTGGCGCGCCGTCGACAGATCCATGGATCGCGGGAGGCGCTCCCTCCAAACTGCTGCCGGTGCCGCCTCGTTCGGCGGCAGAAATCCGCGCTTCCCCATGGCAACGGGACCCGTCGCTAATCCACGCCCCCGTGATCCATGTTTGAGATCGCCTGATTCTTGGCATGGGCCTCCGCAGTATGCAGCGTGTCCGTTTTCGACCGTTCCCCATCCGCCCCCCGTCTCAGGAAGGCTGTAGGGTTAGGTCGGGCGCGTCCCCTTACAGGCGGATTTTTGACGAACCATATACCCCCAAAAAGTACAAACAAATACCCCAAAATAGTAAAAAACGATCGTCCCCTGAATATTTTGTTGACTGTTTTTGGATATCCCTCCTGTAGAGGGACAGGCCCGACTTAAGGCAGGAGGAGCTCCACCACCTGCTCATAGCTCCTCCGCCTCCCAAGAGGAAGCAGTGGGCAGCACCAAAGCGAGGGCGACCCCAATCTTCCCTTCACGTCCTCCTCCCTCCTCTTGCCCTCATCCTCCGCACTCCCACCTCCTGCAGACTCCGCCAAATCCCAATACATGGATGGTACTTCATGTTAGAGCAGATTGATTGATGGCCCCGATCTGATCCGATTGTATGCTTGCATGGCGGACCTCGTTCTTCGGGCTGCCCACCACAAAGACAGCGCCGAAACGAGACGAAACCGGCCCAGCATGGATCCCAAACACCGCCAAACACACGGCCCGACTGTCGACAGGTCCAAGGCCCCCCAGCATCTCTCACGACAACCCCGAGGCAGCCCCAGGCGGGCCCAGCGCCGAAAGGCCCCTCAAGAGGCCCCCGAGAGCCACCGCCGAGGCCTGCGGTGCCCGAACACTCGGAGAGAAGGCTCCTCCCACGGGGCCCCGAGCCCCGTGGAGCAGTGGTGGAGCCACCGCGACGGGCAGACCCAGCGCCTCCTCCCCTGCATGCCCACTCTCTTCCACCCCGTCCGCTCTCCCACCTTCCTTCTTTACTCCAGCATTCCGCTTCCACCTCCCCCCCCCTCCCCTCCCCCCCCCCCTCTCCCTCCCCCCCTCCCCCCCCCTCTCCCCCCCTCCCCCTCCCCCCTCCCCCTCATTATGTAGTCGATCTCCTAGTCGAAAGACAGCCCACGACGCCTCCAATAGGACCCACAGGACGGCCCGAAGAGGGCAGCCATCATGCTTTTCCTTGGGTGTTTTTTTTGTCTTGCGCCTCTTCGGCATTCCGCTGGCCCAGGACGGCCCGTCAGGCGAGGCCCTCAAGACCGCACAAAGATCGCGGTCGTGGGGCCCCCAGGGTTCGGGGATCTTCTGACCCGGGTCAATCCAGACCCGCGTCAGCAGGAAACCAAAAACTGCAATGCAGGACAAAAAAAACTGCAACGCAGATCTTCGCAAACCCGGGTCAGTCAATATGTGCGGCCGCCTCGCGGCCACGAGCGGCTCCCTAACCCGGGTCAGCCAGAGGGGGTCTTCGCAGGATCCTGCAGGATCTGGCGCCCTGGCTGACCCCCGTCTGCATTGACCCCCGTCTCAGGGCTCCCGAAGGGTGGCCTCTTTGACGTCCCCGGGAGCCCCCACGAAGGCCCCAAGACGGTCCCAAATGACCCCAAAGGAGCGACGCCAAGAAACGGGTCGTGAGCGAGATGGCATAGCGAGCTTAGGCGGTGGCTTTCGCGGGCCGTCAGCGCGGCACGCTACATTGGAGACAAGGGCGCGTTACGCGGGCAGCTTACGCGCCAATGTCGGCGCAGACGACTCCGTTTTTGTGCGTCGTCCAGATGGCTCCCAAGACGCACAAGATGGTCTCTAAGACGGCCAAGATAGTCCCAAGAGAGCCCTACGATGGCCGCAAATGTTTACAAGACGGCCCAAGATGCAGCCAAGACGGCCTAGGCTGGCCTCCAGATGGTCCAAGTCGGCCTCAAGGGGGGCCAAGTGGCCATCAAGAGGCCATTCAGGAAAGGCTGAGGATGCCCAAATCATTGAGTTTCCGTAGGATTTTAAAGAATCGTGGCAATCACTCCTTTTTGGCCCAACAAGTCTCCAAGATCGCCCCAAGATCACCTAAGCGGCCTCCAAGATGGCCCCATGACGGCCCAAGAGGCCCTCAAGAGAGCCCAAGATGACCGCACGATGCCTCCAAGACGGCGCAAGGTGCAGCCAAGACGGCCTAAGATGGCTTCATGATGGCCCAGGACAGCTCAAGAGGCTTCCAAGAGGCCTCCAGAAGGTCCTTCAGGAAGGCCAGCAGAAGGGATAATCATAGAATCCCTTAGGCTTTCGAAGGACTTGGGCGTGTGCTCATTTTCGCTTTCCGATGGCCCAAAGCGGCCACAAATGCCACCAACATTGCCCCGAGAGCGCCCAAGAGCCGGGAGACATAACACTCGGGTACGGGGGACTCGAGTTAGCCTGACGGGGCAATCATGAACATGACGAGACTCAATCTGAAATTTGACGCGAACTCCCGCTGCAGACATCCCACGAAAACTGGACCTTCAAAATCCAAGACGCGCTCGCCCAAAAACGTCGGCAAACCCAAGTCCCGGCGTACTCAAGTCTTACGTTTCCCAAAGAGGCCTCCGAGATGGCCTCCTCACGGCCCAAGAGGCCCAAGAGATGGCCCAATGACGGCCTCAAGACGGCCCAGGCCCCGACGTGGCCTTCGGAGGTCCCCAACACTGTTTCCGACGAGCTTCGGGCGCCTCCACAGGCCCACAAGAGGCGCCGGGAAGCCTCCCGAGAAGCCCCCCACCAGCACCCAAGAAGCTCCCACTCCCAGGAGGCTCGAAGGGCGGCCAAAGAAACTCTCAGGATGCCTCCTCCTCCTCCTCCTCCTCCTCCTCATCCTCGTTATGTTACATCTCGCTCCTCTTCTTCTTCATCACCCACGTGTTCCCCGAATAGTTTCCACATTGGCTGGGGGAGCACATGATCCGATAGCTTGGCGGAGCTCTGGCCGCAACGTTCTACTACACAGGCAGTATCCAAACGGCAAGGGGCGGCGGTGATTCGCCGTAGGCGCCTCCGACCTGGCATCAACGTTAATTTTCGGAGCGCGGATGATTTGGATCGGTGCTGGACCCCCCTGCCTAGCGCACGCAGCGCGCCAGAGGCGGCGCGGGAGACGCCACAAGGGGGGTCCAGTGCCGATCCAAGAAATCCGCGCCCTCCTCCTCCTCCTCTTCATCCCTCCTCCTGCCTCTTGACTCCTTGCCTCCCTTCCTCCCACCGCTCCTACTGCGGTCTGCGCGACCGTCGCTGCTTCCGTGGGCGCTGCGAACAGCTCAACTGTCGCCACTCCCGCGTCGCAACTGGCGCCCCCGATCCCCAAACCTCGTCGTTGTCGAACCGTGCCGTCTGTTTGTCCGACGGGCGCTCGGCTTCGCCCTCCGGCGCCAGCCGCCCACGCCGGGGGCTGCCGCCTTGGGCAGGCCCATGAGCCCCTCGCGGCTCATGCACTCGTAGGGCTTCCGAGTGAAGTTCACCATCCTGGGCGCTGCGTAGGCGTACGCCCAGCCCTCTCCTCCTCCTCCTCCTCCTCCTCCTCCTCCTCCTCCTGAAAGCTGGGAATTGCGGACCTCTGGGTCGGCATGGAGAACTCCAGGTGCTAGGTAAACTACGTCGATCTCCTCCTCCACCTCCTCCTCTACCTCCTCCTCCTCCTCCTCCTCCTCCTCCTCCTCCTCCTCCTCCTCCTCCTCCATCCCTCTTCCTCAAAGTCCACCCGCCCTTCCCAAATCCGCCGACCCTGTGGGCGTGTGTGAAGGGGTTCCCAGGGTGGTCGCCCCGGGGTGGTCCTAGGAGGTGACTTTCCATTCGAGGTATCCCCCCTTTACTGGGCCACTCGGGGGGAGCGCTTATGGAGGGCCTCTTGGGCGCCTGTCACGGGCACTGGCCGTCTGGGGTACGACAGCTCTACCGAGCTTTCCCGAAGAGGAATCGTTGGAAAACAAGACACGGCATAAGTTCAACTTTTTAGAGGTCCGCGCGGAATTCTTGGATCTGCACTGAAGCCCTCCCTGGCGAGTGGAACGCGCCAGAGGCAGCGCCGCATGCGCCGCCAAGGGGGGGCCCAACGCCGATCTGACAAAAACCGTGCGGACCGTCGAAAGTTTATGTTTATGCAATTTCTCCCACTTCGATTGTTAGAACCATCCTCAGGACGCCCGGGCAAGTCTTGGTCCACCTCAGATCCATCTGGGGGCGACGCTGGGCCGCCTGGAGGAATCGCGGGGCTGTCGAGGGGCCGCCCGGCCAGCCGTCTTGGAGGCTTCTTCGGGGCCTCCTGGGCCGGGTGGGAACTCTGAGGCCTTCGCGGGGCTATCTTAGACAGCAAAGGCTTCGACGACACGGTGCGTCCGAAACAAGGACATGTTCTTTCAAGCGCGCCTGGCCCTCCGATGCCTTGCCACGAGAATGCCGAGACGAGTCCGGCGGATTTCCTTGGGCCTCTTCGATTGCCTGCGGGCTCACGGCACACTCCTGCAGGGTGTCTGGGCAGCGCTAGAACAGCTGGCGGCCGTCTTGGGGTGCTCTGGGGCATCTCGGGGCCGTCTTGGGGCTGCAGATACCGCCAAGGACAGTCCATTCCCTGTGTGTCTTTCGGTTTCGTGCGTGTTTTTTCGCGAAATGATCAACGATGTTCCTCGATGGTCCTCGCCGAAGGAAAAGTGCACACGTCCGAGCGATGCCAAGACGCCTGCTGTACTCTCTTGGGCGCGAGCGTCTCCCCGCCCGCATGTTCCTCTCCGCGCGCTCAGCCGCACAGCTCTGCTTGACTCTCTGCGTTCGCTTGCTACTTGGAGTCAGCCTTCTGGGGGTCGGCGTCACCGAAAAGCAAACTACAGGGCAGTTATGTAATACATGTGTTTTTTTCTTTTTAACTATGGGATGTTGATACATGATTTATCTACGAATGAATGTATGCATTAACTCATCGTTGTTTTTTTCTACTGAATCCCTGCATTAAAAACATGATCCGCACGCGAAGCATGTATCAAAAACGACATTGTATGGAAGACATGTTTGCCGAGAGTGCCATGGCCGCGGCGAAGAGTACCGGTAGGAATCGCACAACAAAAATGAAGCTATCAAACGTGGGAGATCTGTCATTCTACCCCCCCGGTTTCTCTCGGCGGGGCGCAAGCTCGCCCCTCCTGCGTCTCCTCCTCCTCCTCCTCCCCCTCCTCCTGCTCCTCCTCCTCCTCCTCCTCCTCTCCCCTTCCCCCTCCTCCTGCTCCTCCTCCTCCTCCTGCTCCTCCTCCTCCTCCTCGTCGTCCTCCTGCTCCGCCTCGTGGTCATTATCGTGGTGGTGGTCGTCGTCGTCGTCGCGGCGGAGGCTATTTTCCCTCTATTGTTGGGTTGGCTGGATCATGCTGGTCGTTCTGTCTCCCAGGGATGAATCCATTGTGGGCTACCCTGCACTCCAGATGATGAGTGAGCATCTTCTCATGAGGATTGCAATAGGAATCAGTGATTGTGGTTGTAGTCGTGATTGTAATCGTGTTTTTAATCGTGACTGGAATCGTGATTGTAGTCATGGTTGTAGTCGCAATCGTCCTCGCGGTTGTAACCGTTGTCGTAATCGTAATCGTAACCGTAGACGTAGTCGTCGTCGTCGTCGTTGTTGCTGAGCAGCGGGTGGCGCGGAGAAACAATTATTCCACTATTGGTGCCCCCAAGGCCGTCAATAAGAACGTCGAAACGAAGCATCACTTTCCACTGTTTGGGAGGGGTTCGAAAAACAGACCGCGGTTACCGGATGTGATACTGCAAAAGCAGGCCCTGCATAGGGAACATCCACTGAGCTGGGCACATCTGTTTCGGCGGCGCGCATAATACGGGGTAGGGGGAAGGGGGGAAGGCCTCGGAGGAGGCTGCTTCCTAGAAAGCGCGGGCCTTGCATCCACAGACAAGGCACGCGCGTCCTCAGAAACAGCCTTCTTCTAAGAAGCCTTCCCCCCTCACCCCCAACCCGACTCTGCGCGTGGCTGACTCCTCCCGGCACCCCTGAAGGCCGACCCCCCGCCGGCAGGCGCAAGGACCCTTTGCCGTGGCCTGCCGCGCACGCCCCCCCTGCCGCACGCACGGCGCGGGCGCGGCCAGCGGCCGCCAACGCAGGGGCCTCCCAGAGGCCCGAGTGGGTGGGGCTGGAGGATCGCGCCGCACCGCCGAGGCATCGCCGAGGCATCGGCGACGTCGGCGACGCATCGGCGCATCGGCGACGCCCGCGTGGAGGAAGGCGGGCTCCGCATCGAGGCGCATCGCCGCTTCACTGACGACGCGGCGCGACCCTCCCACCCCAGCTGCTCGGACTCCCTCTGGGATTCCTAAAGATAAAGAGAAAGAGAGAGAGAGAGAGAAACAAAAAAAAACAACAACAAAAAACGAGCAAGCGAGCGAGAGAACAACAGAGAGAGAGAGAGAGAGAGAGAGAGAGCGAGAGATAGCAAGAGCGAGAGAGAGAAAGCGAAGGAGAGAGAGAGAGAGAGAGAGAGAGATAGAGAGAGTACGACCGCCCGACGGTTGGACGAGCATCGTACCGAAGCGCGCAGAACTCGGATCGGGAAGTGTGCCATGGGGCCGCTTCGCGGGAGGTCGCCCGCACAACGCGCCGGGTCGCCCGACCAGGCGGCCAGCGGGCAGCCCCTGCGCGGCCCCGCGTGCCGACGGGGCACTGCTGCGGGCTGCGCTGGGCGAGGCGGGATGCCGGGTCGCGGCGCTGGCAAAATGGCACCAACAACAGAGCGACCGGCTCGACGCTGGGTTCCCCACGCGCACTGCATCTGCGGAGACTGCCCCTGCGTGTGCCGGAACTACCGAAACGCGGGTGACACCGTTTATGTGCACATCCAGATGAGAACGCCCCTCTCTGCATCTCTCTCTGCCGCCGTGTGTCGTCACTGTGCCGCCGTATGCTGCCCCCTGGCGGCTCCTTCCTGGGGCGCCCAAGTGATATGCCTGCAACATCGGGATGATCAGGGGAGGGGAGAGGCAGGGGGTGCCCCAAACAGCGACTAGCTCAAACATCCCCAATTTTTGGCAACGAGCGGGCAAGCGCCACACACCCTGAAGGCTCCTCTTTTGGGAGACCCAGATGCCACGCCCGCTGCATCGCGGTGATCATTGATCATGGGGCACAGAACGGAAATGGGGTCGGATGTGCAAGGCAAGCGCTTAGCTCGAGACACCTTCGCATTCGTGGCGCGAGCGACAAGGACTGGCCGACCAAGCCTGCTTGACGCTGCGGGATCAATCGCCCTGGTTTCCCCGATCTCGCCCGTCGCGCCCCAGCGAGGCGCGACGCGCGGCTATCTTCGTGCCCTCGCGCCGCCGCCGTGAAGGACATAATTGACCGACGATTTTTCCGACGGTAAGACCCCGCACGAGAATTTATACAGGCTGCCCCTCGTCTTTTCCTCTTCGCCCTGGCGGGGGCCCTCCTCCCGCCCTCTGTTGCGCCTCTTCCTGTTCCTCCCCGTCCTCTTCGCCCTCCGTCTGAAAATACTCTCCCTCTTCCCCTGATGGCGTCCGGGTGATGGCCGCGCACCCTCCGCGTACTGTTTTTTAACACACAGGATTCCCGGGAAATCCCGGGAAACGACTCTCGCTGAGGCGCCGGCGTCATTTTTTCCCAAAATGCTGCTCTCGTTGAGGCGCCGGCCTCATTTCTGCTCCCGAATCGTTCCGAATCGTGCTCCCGCTGCAGCGTGGGCCTCATTTTCGGATCGGTGTTTGGCCTCCGTCGTTCAGGATGGCGTTCTCGCCCCAGCGCGGGCCTTTTTCTCGCGCGCCCATCCGCCCGCCACCACCGCGCCGCACCGCCACCACCACCACCACCACCACCACCACAACCACCACCAGCACCAGCACCAGTACCAACACCACCACCACCAGCACCACCACCACCACCACAGCACCACCACGACCACCATCACCACCACCACCACCACCACCACACCACCACCACCACCACCACCACGACAACCACGCACACACGCACGCACGCACGCACGTGCACCACCACCCACTACGCACGCGCGCGCGGAGCCACAGGTCCGCTACGACACGCGTCCGCGGATAGAGGAAATCAGCGCCATGGTAAGGGATGGGAGGGAAGGGTAGGACGTCAGATATGACGCGAGCGCACCTAGCTTGCCTCCTCCCCCTCGCCCTCACCCTTATACGTCTCCTCCTCCTCCTCCTCCTCCTCCTCCTCTTCCCCCTCCTCCTCCTCCTGCCTCCTCCTCCTCCTCCTCCTCCTCCTCCTCCTCCTCCTCACGTTTCTTCTTCCCTCTCCTCCTCCTCCTCGTGGGTATCCGTGTGCTTTCTTCCTCCTGCCTGTTTTTCCCATGCACCACCCCTGCCTCCTGGCCAATGCAGGTCGGTTTTCCTCGGCGCCGTTGCCGCCACAGCCGGCATGGGCGCGTTTTCCGATGGCCGGATCGCGACGCCGTTGGGGCAGCCCCGCGGGCGAGGCCGTTGGGACAGCCGCGCGAGCCGCTGGGGCGCGGGAGCCAGCCGTTGGGACAACCCCGCCAGTCTCGAGCTGATCGCGGCCGCGCTCTGGCGGGAGGCAGCTCGAAATCCAGCGTTGCCGCGAATTGCTCCGCCTCAGCCCTGGACATCACCTCTCTCTTGTCGAACCCCCAAGGCGTTATCCGCAGGGACGCCGGCGGCCCGCGCTGCAAGAACTGACGCGTGGGCGGCCGCAGGGTCAGCACGTTCCGCATGTATGTGGCGCGGGAAGAAATGACGTGGAGATGCGGCCACCACTTGTCGTCCGACAGGCGCGCGCGGCCAGCGTCCTCATCCCTGGCGCAATCGCTGGCGACGCCATTGCGCAACGTCTGGCCCTGCGACAGCGTGGAGGTCGGGTAGGACGCCGTAAAGAGGGAGTTCGAGATGGAGACTTCCTCGCTCTGCACTCGCAAGCGAGGCCCCCGCTCGAGACATCCTCACGATTCACCCGCAGATGAGGCCCCCGCTCGCGACGTCCTCCCGAATCGCTTCCTAGTGGTGCTCGGGTGCAACGCCTGCTACTGAAAGCCGGTGGCCGCCTGGGACTCGAGCATGAAGTGGACCCCATCGTGAAGGGGCTCCCGCTGGAGACTTCCCCGCCGTCCGCTCACAGACGAGGCCCCAGCTCGAGACATCCGCACGATTCGCCTCGTGGGCGTGCTCAAGTGCTAGGCCTGCTGCGGTCGGCCGATGGCCGCTTGGGATGTGAACATGGAGTGGGGACCCCGTAAGGACGGGGCTCCCGGCGGAGACGTCCTCCCATTCACTCACAGACGAGGCCCCCTCTCGAGAGATCCTCACGATCCAACTCCTCGGGTTGCTCAAATGCTATGCCTCCTATGGTCGGCCTATGACCACCTGAGATTCGAACATTCGAACATGAAATGCGGACCCCATGAGGGGAGGGGCTCCCGCCTGACTTCCTGGCCATTCACTCACAGATAAGGCTGATGATGATGATGATGATGATGATGATGATGATGATGGTGATGATGATGATGATAAAAATGAAAATGCTGATGGCGATGATGATGATGATGATGACGATGATGATGATGATGATGATGATGATGATGATGATGATGATGATGATGATGATGATGGTGATGGTGATGGTGATGGTGATGGTGATGGTGATGGTGATGATGATGATGATGATGATGATGATGATGACGATGACGATGACGATGCTGATGCTGATGGTGAGGAGAGGGGGGCAGAGAAAACAATAACCCAACTGAGGATGAGGGGAAACTCGTGTCTTACGCGAAATGGCATAATGACCTTACGCCGCGCCTGACGCGGGCCGCCGGCGCGGCACGCTGCAATGGACGCGAGGGCACTTTCGCGCGACCTTGCGCGAGCAGCTTACGCGTGAGTGTCGGTGAAGACGACCCCGTCTTCTTCGGTCGCTCAATTCAAGCGCATCCTCTTCGCGCCCCCGCGGGGGCAGGAGGAGTCAGATTCCAGGGAAAGTCTCCTCTGTTCCCCTCCCCCCCTCGCCTCCTCGTCCTCTTTGAGGAGAAAGTGGGGAGGAGCAAGACCCAAGCTCGAGGGTATCTGACTCGAGTCCTCCAAGTCTTAAGTCGGGCCTGTCCCTCTACAATAATCAAACAAATATGGGGGCGATTTTTTACTACGTTTGAATATAATTGTAATATTTCTGAATATTTCTAATCTTGTCTAACCAAATCCCCCTGTAGGGGGACAAGCCCGACCTAGTCCAAGCCCTTTATCGTCCGCAGCCTCTCTCATCCTCCGTCTCCCTGCACTGCGCGCGGCGCCCCGATGCCACCCTCGCAGGCCGTCGCTGGGACGCCGCAGAGACCGCTCGCGCAGAGGTACGGGGGTCGCTAATAAAGGTGCCCCTGGCGCCAAAGGTGTCCCCAACCGTTCGCTCCACTCTGGAGCCCTTCGGAGCAGGGACCGGACCGTCCTGGCATTCCTATAGGCCGACCACGACGTGCTCCCAGAACATTCCTTGATGCCTATAGGCGAGCCAGGACGCTTCGCCACTGCTTGAATCTGGAGGCTGTGGGGGCCTCCTTGGGCATCCCGGGGGCACCCCGGGTCAGGGCGACTTGACCATTCCCCCTCAAGAGTTTCAGTGGACGCTGCTGAACGGCCGACAGTGCGCGGCCAACGCGGCCTGTGGGCGGGGGGGACCTCTGCCGGCGTCAACAGACTGACTGGCAGAGTCCCGGCACCCTTGGCCAGGGGCACTTCTAGCAACACCCGAAAACCGAGGGGAAGAGAGAGAGAGCGGGAGCGCAGACGCCGACCCCGTGCAGGCCGCACTCGATGGCGGAGGGCAGTGTGAGACTCCTTCGGGCCCCTGCGAGGCGCCCCCCCCGCCGCCGCTGCTAGGGGAACGAAGACGAACTTACAAACTCGGAGGTCCGCTCGGATTTCCCGGATTCATGACGAAAAACTGACCCTGGGCAGGAGGAGGAGGAGGAGGAGGAGGAGGAGGATGGGAAGGAGGGGGAGGGCGAGGGGGCAGGCTTTCTCAGAAGGCTCGGAATAGGGGAACGAAGAATGACGCATACATGAAAAACTCGGAGGTACGCGCGGATTTCTCGGATCCGCGCTGGACCCTCCTGGCGGCGCCTCCAGCGCCGCCCCTGACGCGCTCCGCGCGCAAGGGAGGGGGGTCCAGCGCCGATCCGAGAGATCCGAGCGGACCTCGGAGTCATTATGCTCATGTCATTCTTCGTTCCCCCTCAGTGGCAGGGGGCGAGGGGGTGAGGCTAGTATGCCTCCGATGAGAAATCGGAACCCGAATCGGAATCCCAAGTCGAATCGAATCGGAATCGGAAGGCATCGAAGGCGAATCGAATCGGATAACCGAAACGAGCCCTGGATGGGGCGGGAAGACGCAGGGGTCCGACGAGGGATGCGCGGGTGCCCGACGAGGCCTCACAATCCGCGCGCGCCGTCGCCGTGTTGAAAATATCGGCCAGGGGGGGGGGGGCCTGCGCTGCGCGGGCACCCATAGAGAAGACAGGTCAAGAAGAGGGGTGGCAACGCTAGATTCAGGTCGGGTATGTCCCCCTACAGGCGGATTTTGGACGAGAAAGGACAAATAGCAACAACAGAAGAATGCGCAGCAAGTGTCAAAAAGTAGTCGAACAATCTTCCCCGGACTATTTTTTTGACTACTTTTGAATATTCCTCCTGTAGAGGGGCATGCCCGACTTAGCGCTAGAGCCACAGAGAATATGTCCCCCGACCCTTCCTGGGGTGGCAGCTGACGCATTTGTTGAGCAGCGCCCAGCCGTGGTGACGAGGGGGCCCCTTTATCCTCCCTCTGCTGGCCGGAAGCCAATGCTGGGCCGCCTCAGCCACCCAGCCGGCGCCATGTCGTCATCGCCTTCGTCGCGGCCGTCGTCGCTGCCATCAATGCAATCGTCATCTTCGTCGTCGTCGCCGTCGCCGTCGTCGTCGTCTCTCGTCGTCTCTCGTCGTTTCTCGTCGTCGTCGTCGTCTCTCGTCGTCCTTCGTCGTCGCCGCGGGCGGCGAGCGAGAGCCGCGGTCCCATGCCACCACTCCCTGGCGAGGAGCTCGGAGCCCTGCGCGCAGCGGCGGCGGCACCGCGACGCCCCTCGGCGGTGGACAAACCTCCCTTTAGTAAACCTCCCCTTAATGAAAACGGCCTGGGACCGAAGCCGACGGACCTGGACCCGCAAAACTGACGGCCGCGACGCCCTCTCGCGAACCGAAAACGGCCAATTCCTTAATCGACGTGTCAGGGTAGGAGGTTTGTCCATCCCTTTAGTAAAACGTGGTTCAGTGAAAACGACTTCGGGCCCAAACCTGGCGGGCGCAAGCCTGGAAAATAACGGCCGTGGCGCCCTCTCGAGAACCGAAAACGGCCAATTCACTAATCGACGTGTCAGGGTAGGAGGTCTATCCACCTCCGAGCCCCTGGCTCCTCCTTCTCCAATTCCTCCTCGCTCCTCCTCATCGCTCTTCCTCGCTCCTCTCCTCCTCCTCCTCCTCCTCCTCCTCCTCCTCCTCCTCCTCCTCCTCATCCTCATCCTCCACCGCGACGCCCCCGGCAAGGCGGCCGCTGCGGCGGACCCTCGAGCGGCTGCAGCGGCAGGCCCACGGGAGGCCTCTCCCACGAGGAGCCCAAGCCCTGAGAGGCCCCAGGACGTCCCCTGCTTTCGGGCGTGGGAGCGTCCCTCTCTCCATCGCAAAACTTGCCGTCGCTCGGACGTCCATTTCCCGTGCATTTTTCGGATTCGTGCGTGTTTGTTTTGCTCGATGGTCCAGGGTGGTCCTCGATGGTCCTCGCCGAGAAAAAATGCACACGTCCGAGCGATGCCAAGTCCACTGCTTTCGGGTGTGGGAATGACACTCTCTCCATCGCAAAACCATCGACGCCCAAGGAACCCAGACCCCCGACATCACGACTTCTTCCTTGCGTCGAGGCCGGGAGGCCTCGACTCGTTCCCCTGGACTGTTTTTGTTCGTCCTGAGTCGTTCTTTTGTGGTCCTGAGGGCCGGTACGGGCCCCTGGACGCCCAGAGTAGCGAGAAACCTCCCGCCATGATTTTCTCATCACCCGATGGGGGTCCGGGATTCCATCGCAAACCCACCGGCACCCAGGAAGCCCAGGGCACCCCGGAGGCGAGCAGGGTGCTGCTTGGCACGGGCATCCACTGCATGTGCTTCTGCCGCGCTTCTCTCTTCGCCCGCCGAACCCCAAGGACCGTCCCCCCGCGAGACTGCTCGGAGAGACGAGCCGGATCGGCGCCGAGAGCCTGGCCCCCCAGCGGGGCACGATTGTCACCCCGAGGCTTACGTTGCTCCCGTCGCACTTACGGACCACATCTCAGAAATAACCTCGAGCGCCCGGAGAAGAGTCGAGACATTGTCGAAACAGTGTCGGACGAGTGTCTCCCAGGGCCCGACACGTGCAAACCACTGAGTTTCGGTACTTTTGGGGGGCTCGAAAGCCTTTCTCGCGATCAAGGCTAAGGCCGGTTGGAACATCATGACCCGAAGCGGTGTCTCACCGACGGCCCTCTGGGGCCGAGACCGCCGCAAAGTCTTGCTCGCCTCGCCCGGGCCCGAGCAGTGGAGGCCTCCCAACTGGAGTCCGAGCAGACGGGGTCGAAGGATCTCGCCGCATCGCAAAGGCACCCGTAATTAGGCACGAAGAGGAGGAGGAGGAGGACGAGGAGGAGGAGGAGGAGGAGGAGGAGGAGGAGGAGGAAGGGGAGGAGGAGGAAGGGGAGGAGGAGGAGGAGGAAGGGGAGGAGGAGGAGGAAGGAGGAGGAAAAGGAGAAGGAGGAGGACGAGGTGGGGAGCTCCCCAGGGGGCGCGAAGAGCGAGGCTCCCGTCTCAAGGCTCCCGAACCCGAGGGGCTCCGAGCACTCCAGCCCGCCTCCGGGAGGCCTGGGCCCAAGGTTAAGTCGGGCCTGTCCCCCTACAGGGGGATTGTCGGCGAAAAAATCGAAATACCCCAAAATAATAATAATGATAATAATGATAATACTACTAATAATAATGATAATAATAATACTTAATAATAACACTAATAAGAAGAAGAAGAATACTAATAATAATAATGATACTAATAATAATGATGAACAAATAATAAATAATGCAAAAATAGTCTGGGGACTATTTTTTGAATATGTTTTGACGTTTTTTGGGGGGCATTTTTGAGTATTTTCTGTTTTTCGTTGAAAATCCCCCTGTCGGGGGACACGCCCGACTTAAGCCCAAGGGTTGGCCAGGACCTGCGGGACCCCAGGACGCGTAATTAAAAAATCAGAACGGGAAATTTTTGGCTATTTTCGGCCCTTGTGGGGCCCTCGCCGGGCCTCGGCACCGTCAGAAAACGATTCAGGACGAAAAACCCGTCCTGGGGAAAGCGTCGGGACTTCCATGGACGTCGTCCTGAAAAAATCAGGACGTCGCATGTCTGGGAGTACACCAGAGAAAATCCCCAATCACTGGATGGTTTGAAAAGCGATCCATAAGGAGGTCGATGACGAGATCGACCGGGAGCCCAGGAACCCAGGAGCCCGGAACCCACCGGAATCGGCCCGGAGTCAGGAACACCCACCTGAGTGACCCCCTCGGGCCATGCAGAAATCACGACGGGAGCATTGTCAGAGGGCGGACAATCCACACCCATAAGAACCACCCCGACACGCGATGTCGTTTGATAGACGCGCCCAAAGAAAGAATCGACTAGGGCAGGGCGGTTTGGTAAACGCCGGAGGCCGTTCAGCAAACGCCAATGATCGGGTCCGGGTGTTTTTTCCATTTGATTTTTCGCTCCTCTCAGCCTCTGGGCGCCCTTCCCGGCCCTCGGGGCGGTCAAAGAACGGCTCAGGATGAAACGCCGGTCCTGGGGAATGGGTCGAGTCATCTGGGGGTCGACGTCATGAAGAAATCATGACGTCGGGGGGTTGGGCCTAGATCAGGCGTGTCCTCCTACAGGCGAATTTGAGAAGAACAATTGCAAAATAATAGGAAATACATAAACGCCAAAGTAATAGAAACATCGTCCCCAGGCTATTTCTTGACTATTGCTGACTCTTCCTCCTGCAGAGGGACAGGCCCGACTTCAGAATCGGTCGAGGCCACTGGGGGTCGTCGCCACGAAACATTCGTGGCGTCGGGAGCCTGGGCTGCTCAGGAGCGGCCAAGAGGGGGGTGTCCAAGAGGGGGGGGTGCAAATCATGACCGGCGGCATGTGCGCGGCCCAGCGGGGGGGCCGGGGACACAATCAAATCAGAAGAGGCGCCACGAGATCTGGGGAAAAACCATGGCCCGCGCCATGATATCCACCCCCCCCTAGTCATCCCCCCCCTCTTTTCCACCCCCGAGCTGCCCGAGATCAGAGAGGCTGGCCGCCCCCCGGGGCCGGCGCCGCGCCGGGCACCCCACAAAAAGCGGTGCCCGCGCCGAGGGCACACCGCCGCGCGGCAGCACCACCGCCGCCCGCCCGGAGCCGGCCCCAGGATTGGGCGGCAAGAACAAGAAAAAGTAATCACCAACTCTTCGAAGATGGTCAGACGTGGTCGAAAAACAGTCCCCTCTCTCTCTATATATATATATATATATATTTGGACTATTCTGGAACACTCCTCCTGCAGAGGGACAGGCCCTGACTTGACCCCAGAACCGATCGAGGATCGATCGCTCGAGGGACCGAGGGAGAGATCGAAGGGGCGGCCAGGGGCCGAGGAGGAGGGCCGAGGCTCCTCGAACGATCGAGGAGCATCGAGCGATCGAGGATCGAGGGCCGAAGCTTGATCGACGGGCCCCGGCTGCCGCTCTGCCCCCCCCTTCCCCTCGCGGTCCCCAACTAGCCATCGCTCGGACGTCCATTCCTGCGTGTTTTTCGGTTTCGTGCGTGGCTTTTTCGCCAAATGATTAAGGATGCTCCTCGACGGTCCTCGCCGAAGGAATAATGCACACGTCCGAGCGATGCCAAGCCAACGCCGTGGCCCGCTGCTTTTCGCGTGGGCACGAGCTGGCATCGCGCACGTCGTGGTGAGAAGGCACGTCAGGGGGGGGGGGGCGGCCCAGCAGGGGGGACACTGCCGTGGCATCGGCAATGGTGCACGATGGCGAACGACAAAAGACTGGGGGGAACGATGAACAACACAGTTTCCGAATCTTCGGCTTCCGCTGCGCTTCGGCTCCGTCTGGCCCGTCGGCTGTCCAGGCGCGCGCCCGAGGAGGGTGGAGGGAACGATGAAAAGTAGTTTCTTGGCCAGGGGATGCGTTTTTCTAATCATGATCCTGGGAACCGCCGCGTGAACAGGACCCAGGGCAATCCCACCAGCCCTCTGGGCGTCGGTGGTTTAGAGAGTTTCCTCTTCCACCCCTCCTTCTTTCCCTTTGGGGAGGGGTTTACCGCGGCGGCGGCGGCGGCGGCGGGGGGCGGCGGCGGCGGCGGCGGCGGCGGCGGCGGAGGCGGCGGCGGCGGCGGCGGCGGATTGGCCCCCAGTAGCTGCCCATCCAAAGACGACTGCTGAATATGCTGAGGCTCGGGCCAGACTCGGGTGCTACGTATGTGTTGAGAGAGCGGGTGGGAGTGAGCGAGACGGCTTGCGAGCGGGGAGGGGGTCTTGACCCCTCCCTCTACCCCTTCCCCTGGACCTGGACGGGGGGGGTCGCGAGGTGTCAGGGCGTCCAAAACGGCATCGGCGAGGAAGCCAAAATCATTGGTTTTACTAAGGTTTTGGCCCCCACCTAGGGGGGGACCCTAATTAGAGCTCCCCTCTTGTTTGATCGATCTCCTCCAAGATGGCCCCAAGAAGCGCCCAGGAGGCCCCAAGATGGCCCCAAGATGGCCCCAAGAGGCTCCCAAGAGGCCCCCAGGAGGCGCCCAAGAGACCCCCAAGAGGCCCCAAGAGAACCCCCAGGGGCACCCAAGATGCTCCAAGAGGCCTCGGCGAGAATGCCAAATCATTGATTTTACAAAGGTTTTAGCCACATGTTGGCCTCTCAGGGGGGGGGGGGGGGGCCCCCACTGATTAAGATGACTCTAAGAGCGCCTGGGAGAGCCCAAAATTACCTCCAAGATGGCTCAAGGTATCCCAAGATGTCGCATAATGGCTTCCTCTGTGTGCTGCCGACTTCTCTGATCGAGGCAATTCCTCTGGGCATCGCTTCTGGATGGGATGGTGGGGATTCGCGAAGCGTCAACATTTCTCCATCATCATTATCATCATCCTGATGAAACAGCCCGTGGGCCCGCGATAGCAACTCCGCAAGGTCCTGGGCGGGGTTTTCCTTCGAGCACCCACCGGCGATCGGTGGGCGATTTGGGCGACGATGCATCCCGCTGGGCCGACCCCCCTCCGACGTTGCCCTTGGCAAGAGTGGCGACGACGACGAAGACGACGGCGACGATTGAGACGATGACGACGACGACGACGACGACGACGGTGAACGTCGACGAACGACGACGGCGGCGACGGGCGGGTCGGCCATGCGGGCGAAACCAGCGGGCGTCGGCAAAACCAGCCAAGCAAAACCAGCGATAGCGAAACCAATCGTCGGCGAAATTAGCCGGGCGAAACCAGCGGACGAAGCCAGCGGGCGGATCGAAGAAACCAGCTGGTCGGCGAAACCAGCCGGAGGCAACCAGCGTCGGCGAAGCCAGCCGTCGGTGAGACCAGACGCTGGCAAAACCCGCCGTCGGCATGGGCCCGCACCAAAGGCCGCTCCGGCGAAGGGCCACCCCTGCGCGCAGCCGGGCCGCGGGGTCGGGAAGCTGCCCGCGACGCCGCAGGATCTCGCGCGACGCTGGCCGGTGCGCGGACTTCTCGCATCGACGCGCGCAGTTCGGCGGCGGACGCGCCTCCCTTTCGCAAGCCACCCTGTAGTGAAAACGGCCTGGGATCCCGACGCCGACGGGCCTGGATCCGCAAAACCGACGGCCGCGACGCCCTCTCGCGAAGCGCAAACGGCCGATTCGCTGATCGACGCGTCAGGGTAGGAGGCCTCTCAACCTCCGAGAAGTGCTTCGGAGGGCGCACACCGCAGCTCCGCGCCGATTTCTCGGATCGGCGCTGGGCTCACCTCCCCGGCGCGCGCAGAGTGCGCCAGGGGCGGCGCTGGAGGCGCCGCCCGAGGCGCCCGACGCAGATCCCAAAGAACCACGCGGAACTCCGAGAGTTTGCGCACGTGCCGCTCTTCTTCCTCGAGCGCGAGCGCCTGCGGCAAGCTCGTGTGGCGATGACGCCGACGTTGGTTTACGACACCGCGCGGACCTGAAGCCGAGGCAGGGCAACAGACGTGCACGGTGGAGGCCAGTCCACAAGAAGCCTTCCGCAGGAAGCCCAACCCTGAGACCCCAGGATGTCCATGGACTTGTGGTGTGGGAACGTCACCCTCTCCACCGCAAAGCCATCGAAACACAAGAAACCAGGGCACCATGGAGGCAAGCATCTTTTTTCCGGCGCTCATTCGCATAACCGAACCACACGATGCTCGTCCAGCATCAGACAGATCGGGCAGGAGTAGATAATGCCAATGATGCGGATTCCCTTGGAAACGTATCGGCCCCGCGGCTGCAAATAAGTTGTGTGACACCCCTACGAAGGTGACCCAAACGGCCATGCCAATACATTCGACACAACATGATGCAATCAAGAGGCAAGCAGGGTGCTTCTTGGCATGGGCCCCCACAGCACTATGTGCATTCCCGTCCGGCCCGCGGGCCGCAGCCCCCGACCCAGGCCGAGGGGAACACCAGACATGCCATGGCCGCTCCCGGCCGACGTCGCGCTGCCAGGGCGGCGGGCGCGTGCAAGGCCACGACGCAGGGCGAACAGGAGAAGGGGGAGGAGGAGGAGGAGGAGGAGGAGGAGGAGGAGGAGGAGGAGGAGGAGGAGGAGGAGGAGGAGAGGAGGAGGAGGAGGAGGAGGAGGAGGAGGAGGAGGGGGAGGAGGAGGAGGAGGAGGAGTGAGGAGGAGGAGGAGGAGGAGGAGGAGGAGGAGGAGAGAGGAGGAGGAGGAGGAGGAGGAGGTGGCGTATCGGGGATCGAGCTTTTCGGGCGTGTGGGCCCTGCTGTGGGCCTCCTGGAGGCTTCTCTCTGCCACGGCTGGGCTCCTCCTATCGAGCTTCTTCCCAGAAGCACCAGAAGGGAGGAAGTTAGAGGCCACTCTCGGCGCCAGCGTGTCGTGATCGCCACTCTCGGCGCCTCGGGGCCAGCGCCAGGCCCCAAGGGCCGCTGAAAAACCACTCGTCCGTGGAATTGGGTCGGTCCACAGGTGTACAGGCAGGCCTACCAGTGGAGGCCCATGCACAAAAACACCCTGCTTGCCTCCTCCTCCTCCTCCTACTCCTCCTCCTCCTCCTCCTCCTCCTCCTCCCTCCTCCTCCCTCCTCCTCCTCCTCCTCCTCCTCCTCCTCCTCCTCCTCTCCTCCTCCTCCTCCCTCCTCCTCCCTCCTCCTCCCCTCCTCCTCCTCCTCCCCCTCCTCCTCCTCCTCCTCCTCCTCCTCCTCCTCCTCCTCCTCCCCCTCCCCTCCTCTCCTCCTCCTCCTCCTCCTCCTCCTCCTCCTCCTCCTCCTCCTCCTCCTCCTCCTCCTCCTCCTCCTCCTCCTCCTCCTCCCCCTCCTCCCCCTCCTCCCCCTCCCCCTCCTCCTCCTCCTCCTCCCCCTCCCTCCTCCCTCCTCCCTCCTCCTCCTCCTCCTCCCTCCTCCTCCCCTCCTCCTCCTCCTCCTCCTCCTCCTCCTCCTCCTCCTCCTCCCTCCCTCCTCCTCCTCCTCCTCCTCCTCCTCCTCCTCCTCTTCCTCCTCCTCCTTCTCCTCCTCTTGCCTCTTGCCTAACAGAGGAGTGATCCCCACATTGTGGCACTCCCTTCAGATGAGCAGCAAGAAGGACGGCCCGAAGTCGACCGCCATGCCCAGCCCCCTTCCACGAAAGACAACCCTCTTCGCAACTGGTGCCAGACAGCCTCTTACAATTGACTCAGGGACATCGGAAGTACCAGGAAAGAGCGCAAACTTCGGAATAAGACTGGCACTGATGACAGCAAACCGCCTCCACTGGCTCAAGAAAATTGTGCTGCTACTTTCCTGACCGCCTCAAATCAGGGTGTACGCAGGCCTCGCAAAAGAAGGTCCCACAATCCGCCGACCCCTTGTGGGTCTCTAGGCGTGTGAGATAGTTCCCCCCCCCTAACCCCCCCCTGGGACCCCAAACCGGAGATTTGACCCCCCCCCCCCGGGCCGCAGACGAGCGCACCACGGGGCTCTTTTGGGCCCAAAAGGGGATCAAGACGGGCCAAGAAGGCCCCAAGACTCCTCCAAGACGGCTCACGAGAGCTCCGAGGCGCCAAACGAGCGCTCCCAGACGCCCAAGATGCCCCCAAGACGAGCCTAGAGGCCTCCAAGACGGCCCAAGACGCCTCCAAGAGCAGTCCTCAGAAGGGCCGAAGCGCCGAAAATCGTCAATTCCTATGGGAAAACGTACATTTTGATCACATACTACTTCTCGGCCTTCACGGCGTTGAAGACGGTCCCAGAGCACCCCAAGACCGCCCCGAGAGGCCCCCAAGAGGCGCCCAAGTCGGCCCAGGAGGGCGCCAAGACGGCCCAAGAGGCCCCCAAGACAGCCCAAGAGGGCCCCAAGACGGCCCCAAGAGGTGCCCAAGAGGGGGAGCCCGAACCGACAATCCGAGCCTTCCGCCCCAAGGCGGCCCCAGAAGGCCCCAAGAGGCCCCAAGAGGCCCCCAAGACGCCCACAAGAGGCCCCAAGAGGCCCCCAAGAGGCTCCAAAACGGCCCCCAAGAGGCTTCGAAACTGCCTCCAAGAGTCCCGCGAAAAGCCCCCCAAGAGATCCCAACGATCACCGCACAAGTCTCATATCAACAACCCAGGCACGGTGGCGGGGTTGCGTTTGCGCACAAAAAAATGATTCGCGCTCTCGAGGCCAAGATTGCTCCAAAACGGCCCAGGATGGCTCCAAAACGGCCCAAGATGGCTCCAACACGGCCCAAGAACGTTCGAAGACGGCCCAAAATGGCCTCAAGATGGCCGACAAGGCTTTCACTATCGCCCACGAAGTCTCCAAGAAGACCCCCAGGACATCTGAAAGAGGCGCACATTACGCATTTCATTACATTTCCATTGCGTTGTTGAACATGTTTGCAATTGTTGCCTTTCCCGGCTTCCGTCGGCTCACGTAGCCCAAAGAGCCTCCAAGATCGCCCCACGGCGCCCCAAGAGGGCCTCAAGACGGCCCCAGAGAATCCCAACACGGCCCAGGACGCCTCCCAATTCGGCCTAAGACGACCCCAAGACGGCAAAACCTGTCTCCAAATTGGTCCCAAGCTGGTGCAAGACGGCCCTAACCCAAAACCCATAACCCAGAGCCTTGTTTCTGTGTCCCCTTCCTCCTTCTCCTCCTCCTCCTCCTCCACCTCGGCCGCCAGGTGGGTTCAAAACTGCTTTCCAAAGGTCCCCGAGAGGCGTGCCGCGAGATCCCTATACACATACAACAAGTTTCTAACCAATAGCACATATCCCAGAGTTTCGTCTCTGTGTCCCCGTCCTCCCCCTCTTCTCCTCCTCCTCCACCTCCTCCTCGCCCACTCCTCCTCTTCCTCCCCCGCCTCCTCCTCTTCCTCCCCGATTCTTCTCCCCCCATCCTCCGCCTCACCCCCCATCCCTCTCTCCCCCTCCCCCCTGTCCTCCCCCGCACGCGCGCCCCCGATTGGGCATCATTTGCAGGTCTTGCATATCAGGGTGCCCTTTTTTGCATCGCGTGCGACGTTGGCAGGGTTCCCGGAGAACGCCGACGTCGGTAGTCTTCTCTTGCACGCGCCGCCGCACTGATACGCCTGGCAACTGCGGGCTGTGAACCCGAGGTTCCGGCAAGACCGCCAAGATGAGGGGTCGGCGGATGTGGCGTAAGCCTATAGAATCACCAGAGTCCTTGATACAGAAGAACAAGTCTGCGCCGATTTCGATGTTTTGCCAACACCCCTCACAGAAGGGCCTACTGCCTGGGGTGTCATGCACATCTCTAACCAGCTCGTGTCCCTCAAAACAGAACCTGACAGGGATACGCTCGGGAAGCTCTTCCGCGGTCTCTGTGGCCTCGCTCTCAGAGTCTGCCTCTGAAGCTCCAGCCACCTCGGCGGACTCCACAGCGTTGACCGCCGTACTATCTAAGCCGTTGTTGCTCGCCTCGTTGCTGCTCTCGATTGGCTCCCACACCCCGCGCGGAACGTGAGAGTTGATCACCGCCTGGCAAACGTCTACCTCGAACACCCTGGCCAGGAAATGGGCCGCAGCTCCAGGGACGAAGTCAGCAGCCCCACGATTCCAAGGAAAAGGACGAGGGAAAAGTTCGCCTCGAAGGCTGGACTCGAGCCGGGGCCCATGCTGGGCATGCCGCAGTTCCTTGCCTCCTGCACAAGAAACCTTCAGTCCAGAGGCCACAGCATGCAATGCAACGTTGCGCCGGAGAATCTCCTCGTGGTCAGGCCGAATGCCTTCCACAAGTTTGGCCAGGCAGGGAACCAGCGCCACAACCCGATCGGCAACCTCGGCTGGCAAGTCCAGGGCCAAGGCGGTGGCCGACAGCAGGTGGTTCAGCTTCCCCTTGAGCTCGTCCCTCTCGGCGCTGAGGCGCTTCAGTGCGGCGTCCGCACTGGCTTGAGCGGCTTGTCGGGCGGCTGTGCGCTCCGCCCGCGAACGATTGCAGACGCCACTACGGGCATCTTCCCGCGCCATGTGCCCACGAGCCTAAAGCCCTGCTCCCCCAAGTCCCTCACGCCCGCCAAGTTGCCCCGTGAGCCTGGGGTCTCGGGGTACGCCGGGGGACAAGGTCCAGGAGCAGGGGGCCTACGGACAAGCATGAGCCAAAATGGCTACGGACAAATCCTCCTCCTCCTCCTCCTCCTCCTCCTCCTCCTCCTCCTCCTCCTCCTCCTCCTCCTCCCGCCCTCTTCCTCCCTCCTGCGTCCTCCTCCTCCTCCTCCTCCTCCTCCGCGTCCTCGCGCTCCCGCGGGTGATCTGGATACCCGTCTTGCCTTGTGCGTGGCGCTCGAATGCCAGTACCCCCTTCGCTCCTTGATCTCCTCCATCCTCGATCTCGTCGAAACGCCCCAAAGACAAACTCTATCCTCGATCCTAGAGCATCCTCTGGAGGAGCAACTAATCATCCTTATCTCCGCATCCTCCTCCTCCTCCGCCTCCTCCTCCTCCTCCTCCTCCCCCTCCTGGTCGTTGTCGATGTCTTTCAGGGTCGGCGGCGCTGGCCGTCAGGCCTTCACAACAATTACGCAAACATGAACTTTCGGAGGTCCGCGCGGATTTCTTGGATCGGCGCTGGGCCCCCTCCCTGGCGCGCGGAGGTCGCAAGGGGCGGCGCCGGAGGCGCCGCCAGGGGGCTCCAGCGCCGATCCGAGACGTCCGCCTCGATCCTCCCTCGAATCTCCTCGATCCTCGAACCTCCCAGACCCCCCCCCGCCCGGAGGCTCCTGCGCCGCCCCGTCGAGCACGTGCCGGGGCGGCGAGACGTAGTTTGGCAACATCATGGTGCCTCCGCGCGCGCCGCGTGAGCACCGCCCCCCCTCCCCCCGGCCCCGCTTCCTGGGCCCGTGCCCGCCGCCCCCTGGCCCACATCCTTCTCCTCCTCCTCCTCCTCCTCCTCCCCCTCCTCCGCCAGCTTCTGCTCCTCCTCCTAAACCTCCTCCTCCTCCTCCTCCTCCTCCGCCAGCTCCGCCTCCCTCTCCTCCGCCAGCTCCTCCTCCACCTCCGCCTCCCCCTCCTCATCCTCCCCCTCCGCCTCCTCCGCCTCCTTCTCCTCCTCCTCCTCCTTCGCCTCATCCCCCTCATTCTTCGACATCTTCGTCGTCGACTTCTCTCCGAATTCTCGCCTGCTCCTCCACCTGCTACTCCGCCGTCTATGTTCTGCTGTCTCAGGGGCTCTGATAAGCGGGGGGTGGATGAGAGGGAGGGGGAGGAGGGGAGGGAGAGGAGGGGGAGGAATAGGACGAGGACAAGGGGAGCACCACAGCCAGCCGAGGAGGCCATCCAATCCGCCATGCAAAAACAAGCAAACGAGTTAATCCTCGCCGAACTCTCCAAGTTCGGGGGCCCTCGCCTCGCGTTTCCTCCTATCAAGGACCCGCTGCCCGAGGCTCTCTGCCTCGGCGCGGGAGGGGAATCCAAAAAGGGCGAGCCCCCTAACGAGGTCGACCCCGCACCCGTGAAAAGTGCTGGGAGGGGGTCCAAGGGGAGGCGCCCCATCAAGACCGAGCTTCGCGGCTAAGAACTCCCGAGAAGCATCAGAGAGGGCAGCGGCCGCCCCCACACGCCCGTTCTTTCGGGACGGGTGTTTGCCACGCAAAATCCAAGCCAATTGCCTGTCGCGACCTTCAGTGCGGGCATCAAGGCAATTCGACACCAGAGCACTCCTGCCCCAGGACGGCCCTGGGTGGCCAACCGAACCGCAACTCGTGCAGAAAACTATGGATCCCTGAGGGGGCCCATCCGGTCCGGTCACCGGGGGGCCTCCAGGCAAACGTGGCCGCGGGCACGCCAGGGCCTGAGCAGGCCCCACGCCTCTTCGCTAGGCGGCGGAGGGGCGCCTAGCAAAGCGGGTCCCAGCACCGCGCCTGCCGGCGCCCCCTCGCGATCGTCATCCTCCCCCGCCCCACACACAACAATGGACGACCGCGACGATCCACCCACCACCCTCATCTTTAGCACAGAGCTCGGCAAGCTCGTCCAGGTCCCCGACGGGGAGGAAGGGCCCGAGCTCAACATGCTTTAGAAAGTCGAGGGGAACATTGTCGAAAACTTGGCTATCAGCTATCCGGGCCTCCTGCCGGGCTCCGAATCGAGCAGCCTGCCTGGCAATCTCGCGACAGCCAAGATTTACAAGACGGTCGGCGGCAGCACACCTGTTCAGTTCAGCCCCCTGGCGGGCGAACTCGTCCGCCGCGCGGTTGCCGAGCCACTGGCAACGGGTAAGCTTGCCATTAAAGACATCATCTTCCTTGCAATGGGCAGGGACTTTGACAACGGAGACCCCGTCGAGCTTATCAAAAATTTGGGCCCACCAATGGGCCCGTGGATTGTCGGGTCCGGCTGCGGACCTAGGGTC